AATAGGATAGCTGCTATTTAAAGCCGCAGTTCGCGCCACGAACTTCGGACGCTACCGTTAACAATATCTCACTTTGGAAAGAAGTCTATCGAACATCAAACATACTCCCTCACCCAGTCAAACCTAATCGTAACTTTACTCGAAATTTCTAGACTTGATATGCATGCAGTAGTTTTACTTTTTGATCGGAAAACTTCCATCCTTTCCACTTCTTCTACGGCAACGCTGCGACTCTTGTTGAGCTTTTTCAGCCTTACAAGAAATCGTCGTTTTCTGGAACCTATCGCTTCCATAGTCGGCCGAACACTATTGCATCAAATTTCCCCAATATCGCTCATCCCTTCCTCAGTATTTTCCTTAGTATGTGCTGAAAGTAGTTCCGTGCTCTTCACTCCTCACTAACAGATTGAAGGAAGAAGTGGCGGTCATGTGCGGGCGGAACTACATACAGAGGGAATCAAAAACAGCTCCTCGCTGACGGCGCACACCACCAAAGCTTACGTAATGCAGAGTGCCAAGTTACATGCAATATTCGAGGTGAAATAACTGTGAGGAGTTCTTCTGTAAACGAAAGCAATCCCTTCGCTACCGGTTTCACACTTACGAAAAGGTGAACCCATTTGTCATCGCTAGCGAGCTCAAAGCACAACGGAACTGTGAAGCAGCCAGCTCACGGGCGGTACCTAACCCTTAGTTCCAGGATTGGGCCACTTGCGCACATACTATTGGAGACTGTGGCAGTAGAAGACACCAGCTAACAGCTTTTGGGATAAGTCGCTATGGTCCATGAGCTCTTCTTTCCATCCTATAAGTCAATCCTTGTGCGCCCTGGGATCACACCCACGTCAATTTGACAGATTCTGACGAAACAGGATTGGAATAATTGTCCAGTACCAATGTGTCCACTCACCTCCGTCATCGAGCGGAACAAGTTCTAGAGAAACACTTTTCGTAAGCGAAGTGTCTTTTTTGCCAACCTTTCGTGCACACCAAACCGCCCTCATTTCCATTGGAGGGTGAAGCTGCTTTAACAGGCAGGGCGTAGGACTTGTGTTAACAATACCTAGTAATCCCGCCCACACTTTCGAGAGGAGCTCTTCCATTTACTGCGGTTCAAAAGTAAGTAATAGCTTTTCGCTCATATAATCATGCCATTCGAGTCAATTAAAGGACTTTCCATACTGCGGAAAACATTCCAGGACAGCATGCGACAGGTGCCGTGCCGAAGACGACCGGCCGAAAGCTTTCATTACGCCAAAGAGCGCAAGGCACTAGATACCCGTTAAACTAGTGATAGAACAGGAGTTCAGCAAGGGTCTAGCTGCAGAACAAGCCATTGTAGCTTTCTTTTGAATGAGCACACTTTTAGCAGTTTCTTCAACCACGCCTAATGCCTGTTTTGGCACAGTTATAGACCCTACCACTCGCTGAACATAATGCATTACCACGTTGAATGCGCATGTTTGCATAACCTTCTCAGCTGACTGCTCAGGAATTGCAACAGGGTGGGGCACGTGATTGCAGAAATGCAACAAAGTAAATAAATACAAAGAACTATTGGAGAGCGAAGCTCAAGCTAAATAATCATCATCAAACCGAAAACCTTAGCTCTGCACATTCTAATGACGCTCTAAGTATGAACTGCTAAGTTCCTGCATTACTAGAAGGTTTTGCGGTACTTAACAAGGACGGCAATGTTCATGCCAGTGGTACGGTCTATGAACAGAAATAACCTATGGTCTTGTTCGCTGCGGATGCTGAGGCGTGTCAGGGGCTGGGTCAGACTGCATCCATTTTGCAGCAGCGTCCACCAGCGTCTACAAGCGTCCGGCAGCGTTAGCGATAGAAAGCACAGATATGTCTAGCGTCTGCCAGCGTCCACCAGAATCTGCCAGCATCTCGACGGCTAGAGAAGTATAGGTATGGATCTGGCGTCTGCTAGCGTTTACCAGCGTCTGCTAGCGTTTACCAGCGTCTACCAGCGTTCACCAGCGACCGGGAGTAGAGAGTATGGGGAAGTAGGAGGGTAGCAAACAGCTGGATTAGGCGTCGTGAAATTGCGGCGTGTGTAACACCGTACAACTACACTACACCGTATATTAAATTGCTTAATTCTGTGCTCCAGCTACTGTGCTGTGCGGTTGCACACGCCGCTACGACGGTTACGACGTTGCTAGCCTCTTACTTCCCCATACTCTCTACTGCTGCTGAATCCTGGCGGACGCTACTAGACGCTGGCAGACGCTAGGTCGACATCTATACTTTCCTATTTGCTGACGCTGCCGGACGCTCGTGGATGTGGTAGGCGCTGGTGGACGCTGCCGAAAAGTATGAACGCAGCCTTAGACGCGGCTTCAGCCCGTCTCCGCCAGTTGTGGAAGCTAGCGGCGACCACATGCAAGAGCGATCGGGGTTGGCACGGCGGCAGTCCGTGGAGGAGAACGGGCTGGCGCTGTGCCAAACCAGGGCCTCCTGACAAGCCTCAATATCCGCAGCGACCAAGACTGTAATTCGTGCT